TAAACTTCATTCTGGAAAATGTATTCAAATTTACTGAGTTCTTTAAAAATTGGACTATTCCAAAAGAACTTCTGAAGCTTGCTCATGGGCATGGATGCAGTAGGCCCCCTGTCATTCTTTTATTAACATCCAGAAGAGTTTTCAGCCTAACCCTCGTTTCACAGAGGAGCTATTTGACAGCATCTCGGATGGCTGTTGCTGGAAGAAACTAAACTGCCTGCCTTGCTTAATTTTCGATGCTCCTTTGACACCTTTGCAAATTGACTTAACGTGTCAAAGTGCTAGTGTTTTTTCTGGGAGCCAGAATTCATGAATAGTTTTGCTGAAAGAACCAGTGCTAAAGAGGGCAGACCATGCAACTGGGAGAGAGGGCAGGGGGAGGCAGATGTGGGACAGAAAGAAGACAGACCTCCCTCTTTTCCCAGCAGTGAGCCATTAGATCATCTCAGCTGCTAATGAACTGATAGGCTCCGTGTAATAAAGAATAAGGCTTAGCTGTTGCCATATTAATGACATGAGCTTCACAATTCATACTGGGAGCCTGAGCCTAGTAGTGTGGTAGATCAGTAGCAAAGATAGAGAAATGGTGTTTGCCTGTGTTCTCATCCAGCTTGGATATACTTACAGTATTATTTTTTTCCCAGGGTCATCAGATTCTTGTAAGAGAATAATGAAGTGGTTAAGATGGAAGAGGAGTCAGAACTTGGCGTGCTTGTTTTTGCTACCCATTATGTGACCTTGGACAAATAATTACAAAATTCCATAAATACTTTAGGCTGTTGTAGGTAGTCACTGTTCTCTTTGTGGTTCCACGAACAGTCCAAACCTTTTGTTAACAACAGTGCACTTCTCTCTCTTGTTTTGACTTAATTCCCTTTTCTTCCCTTCCTCCCCACCCTCCATCTCCGCAGTGATTTTTATTAGTGGTACCAGAATGTTAGACTTAACCCAACAAAAAAGTGAATAGCTTTGTCACTTCAGTTTCTCAGGCCCAGAGGGAAGCAGAGTGTGGTGTGTGGATCAGTTTAAGCCGTAAAGAAACTGCAGTGTTAAAAAAAACTCTGCCGCCTTCTACTCCTGCCTGCTCTGCCCTGCCTTTGTGGTGGGCACATCTGTGTAGCTGTAGTGAGCTGAATTGTACGAATTTATACTTAAAATTAGCTTCTTTTTTTGCCAGTTGAAGCTTGGATAAATTCTCTGACCATGACGCTGCACAAATGCACAAGAAAACATTGTGCGGGATGGGAACAAGTGTCTAGATGCAGAAGGTGGTATTTTAGGCAGAGGTAGTGAAAGATGATGGTATCTTCGTGTTGAGGGAACTAAAGCATGAAGGGACTGGGCAGTTTCAGTCCTTTAAACCTGACAAGCCTGAAGAGTTCTGGGATCATCTGATGAAAAGCAAAGTATTAACAAGGATGTTGAACAAAATACTTTATTCTGTAGCAGCCTGACTTATTTATGGCCTGCAGTAAATCTGGAGAGGTTCCCAGAAAGTCATTGAATGGGAAAACTAGATACGTTAAACAACTGATAATAGTTCTTCAAAATGATGAAAACTGAGTGCTTTTCTTAGATAAGAAAAGAGACCCCTGACTTCGGAGAGGAGCTGGTCATTGCTGAGCATGGATGGTCTCGCTGCACTCCATAGCAGCTCTGTCAAGATGCTGCTGTTGAATTCCGGGAAGCCAGTGTTGTGGCTCTGCAGGCATGAGAGGTGAAACCTGATGGTAGGCTCTGCTCTTCTGACCTCATGTAAAGCTTTCGTGATCAGCCTTTCTGTATATCTTTGGGATAGCTATATGCTTATAACCTGTGATATCTTTACCTCCAGCAGTATTTTTAAAATATAAGCTGCTACTCAGGATTTCTTCTAAGGGAAAATTAGTGGATGTCTTCTGGTTTGTAGTCATTTATTTTCAAGGTAGAAGAAAGCACTAATTTCTTTCACGTAGGACAGTGTAGAGTTGCTGTGTAGCAGTTGCTTTTACTCAATTGCAACTTAGACTGGCAATTAAATCAAATGATAACAAGGCCTACCATGTAATTTCACTGCTCCATGGTCTTTTCTTGGGAAGTGCAAAGGACTAGGACAATTGTGGTAATCAAAATAACTTGTGTGTTACAAACCCCCTAGAATGAGCTGTTAAACCTGCTCTACTACTCTGCTAAGCAATGATCCAGATACACCATGGTTCAGGCTGTGTGCACTAAATTCAGAGCGGTTGGAAAAGTTAAATACCCTTTTTAATGATATCAGTTCTGCTTGTTAGAGCTTACCTCAATCAGTGCTCTGCTGAAAAATAACTTTTTTTGCAGTAGGATATCTTACTAAGATGCCTGGTGTAGTGTCTGAAATCTTCAGTACTGTGTTGCTGGTAGACTGTCAATGTTTCAGGGGGTAGCGCTGAGGATTATCTATACTCATCTGCATATCTTATCTTTTTTATGAAAGCAGATCCTGCACTATCGGCTTGCAAACACAGCTGGCCTGTTTTAAGTTACGTGAGTCATGAGGCTGTGAAAGCACTTACGTTTCTTAGCACTTGTATTTTGATTTTTAAACTGAGCTTTTTGGAATGGCTGTTCTAGTTGCACAGCATCTCATCTGTGGGGATCCCTCCTTGTGATGAAGATAGCTAAAACTTACTCTGAGAAGTGACTACTTTTTCCTACTTCACCTAAAAGGAAAGGAAAGAACTTGGGATTATTTGCAGCTACTGTATTCAGAGTGAAGTGTAATGGGTCACTTCTCCATAAAGAGTTGCTTTTGCAGTTTGAAATGTGCTGATACCTCATGGTGAACCGCTTTTCGCTTTGCTTGTAGAACTGCCAGGCTGTACGTAACTCCACACACATTTTAAGCTGGCGGTTTCATTTACCCGGTGCTGTCTGCCTTTGGCTGCTTGTTGCTGCGCTCTCCCCTCTTCCATCAGCACAGCTGCTTGTACAGCCGCATTGCGAACCATATTGAGGAACTGATCTGGTGAAACTAACCCAGCAGAAGGGAAAGGTGGTTAGTTTTCACCCAGATCGGTTCCCCAGTGTGACTCACTAGGCAGCTGTACAAGTGCTTATTTATGGTGGTACAAATGAGGAGGGCGATGCAGCAGCACGAATAAGCAGCGGGTGTTGGCAGTGGGGTGATTTGACTGATGCCGGAGATAGCTGAACTACAACACAGTGGGGTTTTTGTTTTGCGTGTTCTAACAGCTCGAGCAAAAATTATATGAAACACATAGGAGGTAATGCTTAATATAGATTTGAAAATTCCCTCAAAATGATACTTATTGTTTGTCACAGAACAGCTGCAAGCCCTTGATGAAGAATTTTAGAGCCTGTATGAATTGTCTTTTGGATATGTCTTCGTAGCTGATGGTCTCCTGGCTAAAGCTAATTATCTTTTGGTCAGGAGAGGTTAATTAACTCTGAATGCTGCCTGTGTAGAGTTCTGAGGAAATCTGAATAACGCAATATAACATCAGCAGCAATGTAGTAGGCAAACTGGAAAGTTTATTTTCAGGATCCAAGTCTCTCTGTCATCATGACCTCATACTAAAGAATGTGAACAAGAAAATTGTCCATGTAATTGGAAACTTGTTCCCTATCAGCTAGGCTAAATGGACAAGTAATGGGACAGGAGGGAGGAGGAGAGCGATGACTAAGTTGGTGATTTAAATAGACATTCATTACCTGTTGCGTGTTGAGTCCTGAACTGTGTTGTGGTCTCACAGCCCCAAATTCCATGTTTCTCTTCCAACTGGTTTGGGAGAAGTGAGACTTTAGACTTTGGGATGAATTCCAGACTTTGAAGGGTGCAAAGACATCACGAATCATGGAGATAAGGGTTCCACTCTTGTCCAGAGAGGCAGCTGTACGTTATGACACTACAGCTTTTTCCAAACCTCATTGCATGTGGTGAAAGACTTGTTTGGCTTTGCTTGAGGGCTACTTCATTGTAACATACTACTTAAACCAGTCACACAATTAGTTTGCAATGCTAAAAAGACCTGGAGAAAGTTGCCTTCTTTGTTAGACGTTATGTGGGCTATTCTTGTGTTGTAAGGGATTAAAAAAAAAAAAAAAAAAAGAAGGGGGAAATGAGCATGGTAGATGATTGATTTGTATGCTACGGGAGTTAATTAAGGGAGAGATATGGCACATAAAACCCTGAAATAATTTTTATAGGGAGTGCAATGTATGTTCAAAGCCATTTCTTAAGGAGTGTTTTAAGTTGCTCATAAAAATGGCTATCAAAACTACGCAGCTTTAAGGTTAGATTTGAAATAATGTACAAGGTCCATATAGTTTAAGTGAGGCTTAATCCTTCTGTTGACATTTTTGATACCAATTTCTAACAAAATAAGACCATGTAGTTCTGCAACTAAGAAGCTTAGAAGGTTATTATTTTATTTTTTTAATATTGTATTGCATGTATGTGCTAGAGGTATCTGGGCATCCCATCTCAGGCTCTGTTTTTAGTCTAACTCATAAATAGACTTTGCAGGAATGAATCCACTGATGGTTTTGAGTCTGTCACGTGAACAGAAATTTAATACTCTTCTTGCATATTTCCAGAAAGGAAAACTACTGTATCACTTAAGTGATATAAAATGTCCTATTGTGATTCCAAAACAGATGATGGCCTTTCAACTGTTGTTAAAAGCCTTTTAGGACAAGCTGCAAACAGAAGAGTTGTCTTTTGGTTTTGAAAGCGTTTTAAATCCGCTTTTGGTCAGCGTGAGAGTGTGCTTTTAAGGTGGATCCAGACTTACAAATTAACAGGCCTTTGGGAGAAAGAAGTATGCTGTAAAATGGAATCTGCGGTAAAAGGAGGCACTAAACCAGTTGTTTGAAACTTGTAGGTGGTTTGTGGTGATCCAGAAAGGATGGGCAGCCATTTGTCAACACCCCCATAGTAGATGGGTGAGACCTTGATAGGTTGAGAGATTGATTGGGAGAATATGATACTGAAGGATTTGGTGAGAACTTGATATATTTGAAGTGGCAGTTTGCCGAGTGCTAAGTTCATGGTAGTCTGTTTTAAGCACGCAGGGGTTTTCAAAGTTAAAATAAGAACCACAGCGAAGCAATGATTTAAGAGTGACTGGGCAGTCCTACAAAATTGCTTTGTTAACTAGTTAGATTTAACAATAAGCTAGTAATGTTAAATATTTGTCAAAGACGGAGGGCGTAGTATGCTTTGAAGCTGAGGATTTTAGCCACAACCATTAAAGCTATTTGGCACTTGGGGGGTGGGGATTGATTCAATCTGATGATTTTTGTTTGAGATACAGTATTGTAGCAAACTAACGTAGTGTTGGAGTTGAATGAAATCACTTAAACTAAAGATTTTAGTGACATATTCCAGTGTATTCAATCCAAGAGAAAAGGACTCGGTTATCCAAGCAGAAGGGAGCTGACAGACATCACAAGTTTGACTGTGCCTTTTATTTTCCCTGAAGATCTGGATATGTCTTTCTGCTGTATTTTACTTTTATTTAAGGTTGTTACAGCAGTTTCCAGGATTTCTGTGAATTTGGGAAGCTTTGTTCAGTCAGTTACTTATGGCTCTGGATTAGGTGGTGTTTTATGTTGGAGCTCTTTGTCCACTAGTGCTTGTTGAAAATAGCTTTGGGTAGGAAGTGTTTCCAATAGGATGATGCAGAACACCTGGGTGATACTGCTGCTGTTCGATGCTAATAGAGTCACATATTTGCTTGAAACTTCATGAATAGTTGGGGTGATGTAGACATGTGGAATAAACATTATGTATAGGACACGAGTAAGAATAGCTTGTCTTGTATATTGGTGTTGCTTAACCTGAGCTCGTAGGTGCTAGTTGTTGCTTGTCCAGTCAGTTTCTATGGCTTTGCTGAATGCTTGTTGTTCACGCTAGCTTTCTGCCAAAGAAAACTGAGTGTTTGGTGGGATTTTTTTGACAACAGTGCTTTGGAAATCATTAAAATGCTTTAATAAAAAAAAAAAAAATTGAAAGGGTTCAATTTCATTCTAAGGAAGTTCTTTAACTATTTAGGTTTCTTTCTTATTTTTAGCGCCGGCTTCGTCATCTTCGGAACATCGCTGCACGTAACATTATCAATAAGAATGGTTATCGCCTCTTGGATACGTACTTCACTCTTCACTTGTGTGATAACGCCAGGATATATAAAGGTAAACCAGGCTTGCTATCAACTTTTTTTGCTAGTTAATCTTTGAATTCTTATGTTACAAATTCTCTGTCCTTTTATTGCCTTGACAACCTGCTGCCATTATTTGCATCGCAAACAATGGAACTAACAGTGGAAAAGAGATCTTTAGTTTCCTGAACTTAGAATCATAGAATCATAGAATCATTAAGGTTGGAAAAGACCTCTAAGATCATCAAGTCCAACCGTTAACCCAACACCACCATGCCCACTAAACCATGTCCCTACTTCATAAAAGCTTTCAGTGTTAGCAGGCAAGGAAGCAAAACAGGTGACAGATTTGGTAGTGTCTCTTAAATTAGCCTCTTCTTGTTGCTGCTCTCCTCTCCCCTCACCGATAATTTGGGAAACTTGGAAACTTCCAAGAGTTAAAGCTTTTGGAGCCTTGGGTGCTTTGTGTGTGGGGGAGTGTTTCACTCTGCACGTACCAGTTATTTTTCGGAGCGTAAACCAGCACTTACTATTATCAAAGTTTTCCAGAAATAGAATTGTCAGCCAATGACAAGAAGCATCCAGACATCTGTTCTGTTTTTGATAACTGTGTTTGAGTGTTAGATCTCATTTCTCTTTAATGCTTTGCTTTCCACTACAGTGTATAGTTCTTCATTGTGGAGAGATGTTATTAAAAAAACATTTTTATGCTCTTTTTGATGTGATCGACAGTTGGAGCTTTGCAGGCAAATTTTGTTTTTCTCTTAATTTTTATTTTCAGCTAGTGTGGTTGAACCTTGCTTTTTTTTTTTCCCAAGGTCGCTGTTTTAGAAGGATGAGAATACATAACTTGAGCTTGCTACCTGGACTTTCTTGTAGTGGTTGGTTGAACCTGTAACTGATCACTGTTTCTAGTGTTTGGTGTGTGGGACTGTTCTGCACTCCATCAAAGCTTTATCCTTGGTCTCCAATGGACTGAGGGATGTTGTACAAAATCTGTATTCCAGCCTCCAGAGCTGTCTACCTAAAGACTTTAAGCTCTTATTTTGGCCGGGAAAGCCAAGGTCCGTGTGTCAGCAGTTGCTTATTTCCATTTAAATATAGGGTTCTTGGCACCTCCGTGAGATGATTTGGCTGTTCACTTTCTAAGCATCTGGAACAGGTCACCCTTGCTCTTCAGGAAAGCAGAGCAATTAGTTTATCCGTGCTGCACTCCTCCAGGAAGATGTCGTATGACAAAGTAGTCACTTTGCAAATGTCATCCAAATATTGTAAAGTACTGGGGCATGTTCTTAAAAAAAAAGCCTCAGTAAATCTTAAGGATTATCTTGGGTATAGAGATAAAATGCTAAATTTAAATAATGACTTCTAATAATTAAGTGTGAATGAGTACTTCTAGTCAAAAGCATGACTACATTTTAAAGTCTTTCTCATGAATCTGTTACTGATAAACTAGACCCACTAGCATTTGTCTTTCATGAGTGTTACTTATTTTAGCTTTTTGTGTTTCAAATAGTAAGATTTGTATCGGTGTTTAAGCTAATCTAAAGGTGTTTTTTTACTCATTTTTCTTTAGAATTTTATAAGAGTGAGGTGATCAAGAATTCTCTGGTAAGTTATTTTAATACGGAAAAACTTTCTTTTTACAATTGTATTGTTACTGCAGTATATTGATTTTTCTGCTGAATACTATAACTGTTAAGTGTGTATTTCCACTGTTCAGTTCTGTTAGGAGCATCACGTTCTTCTCCTCCTTTTCAGGTTCTTTTCACAAGGGTTGGAATAGTGAATTATTGAATAGTAGAGATGCAAGTTCATTCATTTATAGCTCTGCAGCTATAATCTGTTGGTACTCCTGCAGATAGGACTAAATTAAGGGTAGGGCATTTTCATATGAAAACTGTTCAGTGCTCAGGTTAATCTTTACAATATATATCCATTTTAAATATTGAGAACACCAAATAGGCAAAGTAATGTTAGCTGGATTTTTACTGGTTTAACTTCTTTCAGTATCTGAGAATTGTATGCATCATAACCCAGGTTTGTTTACAGTTCGTTTTTTTTTTTTTTTTTTCCCTGTTCTTGCTGGTGTTAGTGACAGAAATGGCTGCTTTTATTTAAATGTTTGTGAATTGCTTATTCAAGGATAAGTATATTACTTTATATACATATATTACTTTACTGGGTGTACAGATTCATCAGAAGCTCATGCTGTGCATTTTAGCAACTTGGTATAGAAGCAGAGGCCGCAACACCCCGAATAAAAGGAGAGTCAAAGAGTGTTGCAGAATACACCACTGATTTCTTTGAACATCATCTTGTTGTATAGGTGAACAGTAAGGATCATGTACCTGCATATATAAACATGTATATTCTTTGAAGAGCTAACAGCTTTAAGAAACTGAAGTTTGAAAATGTCTTAGAGTTTCTAAATTTTTCCAGTTCAGATCAGTGAAGGGACCAGAACTGAACAGTTTATTACAACTGGGAAGGGGTAGGTCTCTTTTGTGGGAATAGGATGTTGCAAGTGTTGGGTAAGGGAGTTTGAAAACCTGCTAAACAGACTTTTTAATGTCTGCATTCGCAAGGTGGAACTGCACCATTTATAGCACACTGGGCTGTAAATGCTTTGAAAACCTCCTGAATGGGGGAAAGGTGTCTACATCCACAAGGCTGTTAACTTGTCCAAGAGACAAGTTCCTTGAGACTTTAGTATTTTGAGTTCTGCCTATTCTGAATCAGGAAAAGGAATAACAAAAAGGGAATCTAACTAAAGGAAATATGAGATGGAATGACAAAAATCTAAATAAAAGAGGTCTTGAGCAAATTCCGTACATCCTCTATGGGTATTTTAATGGCCTGTTATTCTTGTGTCTGAATAGCTACCAAATATCCCTTCTCCTTAGGAAAACTTGATTAATGCATTCCTTCTGTAATACTTACTTTACTGGGTGACTTTGCCCCTCCCTTCTTTTCAGAGGCATCTTATTCTAAATTGCCTAATACCAGTTCAGAGATGCTTGGCCTGTTCCAAGCTGCTTAAGCACGAGAAGGAAAGGCTTGTTCTTTCATGGGATGGTGGGTTCCTACCTTTTGTTTTGGAGGAGCTACCGTTTCTGTGTCGAGCAGAGGAGGGAGATACATATAGAAAGCACTTTCCTATTTCTGCATTTGGACACCCTGTGATTTATGGCCTGTGGAAGTCCTGAAGTTGGTATCTGGCTCTTGGCACTGGCAGTGTTGGATTGACTTGGTTTGGTTGCAGCTTGGGCCAATTACAACCGTTTCCATAAATCTTTAACTTAAATGTTATCAGAGGTGAGTGCAAGTTCTTGGAATGCCTTGTGCTTGCAAATCTGAGTTCTAGTGGAATAGATGTTTGCAGTTTAGCTTAATGTGTGCTGCTTCTGTAAAGCTTGAGATGCAAGTCTGATCTCTTGGAGGGAAGAGGAGCTCTTGGTGACAACGTTTGAGGATTGCCATCAGCATCAGTCAAGGAGGAGAAGAATGTGAACAAACCTGTCAATAAATTATGCAAACTTAAATTTAAAGCACCGATCTATTCCACAATAATTAACTCTTGCAATGTAAGCTATACCCTAGTTTTTAGAAGCTGAATTATAACTTGGAAAGGAATGTTACTTCCACTTTTAAAGTTCCTGATTTGGCTAAAACGAATTAGTAAATTCTGAAGTAAATTCTTCAACATCTTGTAATGGAAGGAAGCAGAGCCCACTCTGAGTTTCTGAAGTACTTTACAGCATGTAGCTTTTAACCCAGGAATTCTCTCTAGAAAACAGAATAAGGAAGCAGCAGAGCCTGTTGGCTTCAACTCTGTGTAAACCTTGAAATGGCTGGTGTTCGTTATTCTTAAGTGTGTTTTAATCTTTGACATGGACTTTGCCACTTTGAGTTCTCAATTTTAGGACTACTTTCAGCTTGTTTGAGTTGTTTTTGTCCCTCTTTGAATATGTACAGAATCCAACATGGAGGAGCCTGGACTTTGGAATAATGCCTGATCGTCTTGATACCTCTGTCTCTTGTTTTGTTGTGAGGATCTGGGGTGGCAAGAAGGAGCACTTTCAGCTTTTGATTGAATGGAAGGTCAATCTAGATGGGTTGAAGTACTTGGGCCAGCAGGTAATGTGAAAATAGTTTTTCTCAACTTTTTACTTTCGGAAACAAAACATCCAGATGAACAAATATCTAGACTGCTAAGAAAGGAAATGAATTTGAAGGGTGTATTTTGAAGTTTGATTGCAGAGATTCATGTTAGCTTTCTTCAGAGCTTTAAATCTTGACTAGCTGAATATTTTAAGCTACCATTGTTCACTGAGCCTCTTAAACGATACTGGAAGCACTTGGTGCTTTAAATTGCAATGCCTTGGTTCAAGGAAATAGCAGTATAATTGTACATATTAGTTAAATGAATATAGATCATAATGTTTGTGTATCTTACAGTTTTAATCCATTCTCATGGTAATGACATCCCATGAAAGATCTTCAGTCCAAGGAGCTTACTGTATAAGATCTGTTTTAATTCTGGTATTTGTCTCTTACTAGTAGCGTTTTGAAAGAGGTGAAAAGTGAGGTGTTTTCTGTATTGCGGAGCTTATAGTAAAAGTGGCTCAAAAAGAAACCCATATCACATAAATAATAAAAACACCAAAAAAAAGGGTGCCTTTTGAATCAAATAGATTGTCCTAATTCCAATGGGCACTTTTTGATTGCTTAATTGAGAGGATCTATTTAAAATAGATCATAGTTTATTTCTCACTTTAAAACTAATTTTTTTTTTTTTTTTAAATTGGGAGGTTTCAAAGCCTGGGAAGAAAGCTTTATAGGGAATGACTGCTCTAGCTTCACATGGTGCATTGATCCCAGCCAGCACCCCCTGCACTGGTGGGCTGGGAGAGAGTCAGAAGAGCAAAAGTGAGGAAAAACTCGTGGGTCGAGATACAGACAGTTTAATAACTGAAAGCAAAAAAAAAAAAAAAAAAGCTGATGCCCTGTTTTTTACTGCTAAGCATGATGTCATATGGTATGGAATATCCCTTCGGTCAATTCAGGTCAGCTGTCCCAGCTGTGTGCCCTCCAAGCTTTTGCACACCCCCAGCCTACTCGCTGCGGGGGCAGAGTGAGAAACAGAGGGGGCCTTGATGCTCTGCAAGCACTGTTCAGCAATAGCTAAAACACCGGTGTGTTACTAACACTGTTTTGGATCTAAACCACAGCACCATACGGACTGCTATGAGGAAAATTAACTCCATCGCAGCCAAACCCAGTACCCTTCATATTGTAGCTTTCTTTCCAATTGTTTTTACTGGACAGAAGAAATGGGTCCCTAAATAATATGCTCTAGTGCCTGGTTTTATTTGAAGTAATGTTCTTTACGTTAATAGCAGGATATTAGCTATAATACTGAACACTAATTTTGTGACTACTATGACCACGAAAGCCTAATTTTGAGTATCGTTTTAGGTAATGTCATGTGAAAGCTAATTACTCTTGAGACTTATCTCTTCAATTAATTTCCGGGTCTCCTAGTTATTTTTGTCAGCTGGAAATGCAACAATAGGAAAGATGCTCTGGCCAGTGTTTCTGACTTCAAGATAGAATGGCTGAACATACTCAGTGACTGTTATTAAAGCTGTGAAGCGAATGCATTTTCTATGGTTAAATTCATTTTTTTCTGAAGTTTCATGTGCTTCTAGAATTACAGGTACTGAAAAACTGCATTTGACCATCAAACAGAGCAATTTATGCTCACTTGCAGTGTAAAGTCATAGTAAGCTGACCATAAAATGATTTGTTTTCTTCTCTTCTTACAGATACACGCAAGAAACCCAAATGAGATTATTTTTGGTCTCAATGATGGTTATTACGGAGCTTCCTTTGAACAGAAGGTAAGGGTATCTTGTATCTGTTCTGGCTTGTTAGTGCTGGTGACAAGCTGAAATTCAACTTCTAAACTTAAATTTTCACACTTGGATGCTCAGAACGATAAAATGCTTCGTTTTGAGAAGAAATACTTTTTTGACATGACAGCTAAGAACTGTTATCTTGCCTCTGTTGCATGGACATCTGAACTGTTCTGGGAAGACTCAAAGCATAGCATTTTAAGTCCAAACAAAGCCTGGTTACTGAAAATAAGCCTTGACTTTATTCTTTGAGGCAGACACTTCATTCAAACGTAGAACATTTCCAAAATGGTGTGGCTGTTAAGACTCATTTTCATGGCAAATATAAAAGCACATTAAGTTTTGGTTCTCGCTCTTAAAACCAGAGTTTGTAGCTTTTAAATGGGAAGCCTTTTATTTGCTCTGTGTTGCAACTGTTTCACCCATGGTTGTTTTTTTTTTTTTTCCCTTCCCAAAGGCTCCACTGTAGTATTTGTGCTTGTCCAGCCAATATTGTGACCAAAATTAACTGTATAGCATTGCTGATTACTACACTGATGACGAAGAAGTTTAAATTTACCTATTGTAAATAGCACAGTTGACAGTTTTTTTAATCCCAAGCTGCTGGTGGCAGGACTGTGGTATAGATGGGTTGTATAAGGAGTCCCAGGCTGGAGAGAAAATGACTCTTGACACACAGCTACAGTTTCTGCATTAGCCACAACCAGCAAGTCCAGTCTTGTGAGGATTTGAATGGAGGCAATGGCTTTATAGTCAACAACACGGGTAACCGTTCATATGTGGGGAGAGTGGAGCAAGGGACAAGGTGGCCATGGATGCAAAACTCTCTAGCTGTAGGCAAGCCTCCAAACTGTGTTTGGTATTTTGATGGTTATCCTTCAAATTGGAGATGGTTTGGTACACAGCTCAGACTGCTTGCTGGTGCTGTTAACTCAGTTTTCCTGAAGCAGGATGCAATTCTAGTTTTTCGTGATTTCAGTATTAATAATCTGGGCCTGAATTCAATGATGGTAACGCTATCCTCTTTCCTGATTGATTGTTGTCAGGACTTGCTTCCTAGCTCATCAAGGTTAAAAGTACATCTTGGTTTTGGTTCTTGTACATGCTCTGTAGCTAAGTTACAAATACAGTCGTAGCCTATGTGGAGCACAGATAATCTCCTTCTTTATCCTCTCCTATAATTTATTCAGCTCTTTCTGGCTGCAAGAGCTAGAAATTTATTTTGTCACCCTGCTCTGTAGCTTCCAATTGCTTTCTTTGTCAGTTCCTTGACCTAAATCTCTTCTTGTATAGTGCATACCTCCTGTATTTAAGTGACTTGTCTGCTGTTCAAGCCAAACTAGTTGGCACAAGCAAACTCTTCCTGTAACCTTCAGAAGCTGTGCACACCTAATTGGTATTTCTACTCCTAGTTGGTCTTGCTTTATAATTTTCATGTCAATGCTGGGCATTCTAAATATTATACAGCCCCACTTTGGTGGTTATACTAAATATTATTTATGAAGCACCACCTGAAATCTTCTGTAGGAAGGGGTTTTTGGTGTCAGGTGTGTGGCTCTGATCCTGTGGAAACTGCAATACCGTCCCTTTTTGTGCTTGGTTGTGTGGGTATTTTCTGATCTCTTGGGGTGCTTTTTTCTTTGTGGTGGTGGTGGCGGGTCTTCATAATACTTCAAGACATCTTAGTCACAAGCCTCAATTTTTGAGATAATACATGGATGGAATAGCAGTTTTAGTTTCTTTGCACTGACACATATGAAACCTCGCTATGCAAATAGATGCTTGCAAATATCCTTTTGCAAGTCTAATGAAAACCTTGCGCCCAAAGACACTTCAGTCAATGTTGGAAGTGTCCTCTATTTTTGCACATCTCAGTATGGAAAAGTTAAGGTATGGTACTCTTTTTTTTTGTTTGTTTTTTACTCCATTGCTCAAAAAAACCCCTTGTTGCTTTGGTATTTCTTTGGACTATGAATTAGTTGCCAAAGTAGATTTATGGAGTATTACAATAAAGTGCATTTTATTAGTGTATTAAATGTCTTTGTCATTAATTAAGACCACTTATAAGCCAAAATAAGAAAATCGTTGGAAGCTGACTAAACCATTCTGGCGATATTTCATGAGCTCAGGGTTTCAAAACATGCTGTAGATGTACTTCTGAGCATTGCTTGATCCATCTGGAACTAAATGCAAATTCCCATTTTCTGTCCTGTGAGCTTACCTGTGGTAAGAGAGGTGGGAGCCTAAAAGCTATGGTAGCAGAATAAACTATAGTAAGGCAGGAACATTAGGGATTGCCACAACTACTGTTTTTGTTGATGAAAATTGTGGATTGATTGATTAAATGCATATCTCCCTGGTAAACAAAACCAGCAAGAGCAACATGCTCAAATAGGAATATTCTAATTGCTAAATCGTTTAATTTAAAATCGAAGCACTGGAAGCTTACAGCTTCACTAGGTAATGCACTTTAGCTGCTGTTTTAGAACCTTCAAGCCCACTTGCATATAAGGTAACCTTCAAGTGCAGGTTTGTGTTCAAAATGCTTGCTCTGTAGGAAGCTCCTGTCATATAAAGGGGCAAAGTAGAAAACTCTAGCAGCAATACTGATGGAGAAATTCTAGGTAAACCAGACAATTGTAGTATAGCAATTTTTGTCGTGACAGAATAAAAGAACCATATCCAGGACCTCTTTATTGTTGTTAATATCATCACTGACTCTTCACTTTTTTTTTTTCTACTGATGTCAAAAAGCCTTTAAATTCTGTATCCTTGACAATATGTATGTATTAGGAATTTTACCTCTCTTCCATCTCTTCTGTCCAGCAGCAACTTGGCTGTTGCTGATATGCAATGAAAAAATGAATGTTTTCTTTGGGTAATGTTCTTATTCAAGTTGCAGTTTTCTGGCTGTGATGGATACTTAGCTCATGGCAAGAAAAAAGCTGGGAAATAAGGTTTCAAAAGCCTTTGTGCGTGCCTTCTGAGTCCTGAAGGGTATTACTGCTTTACTGTAGGTGTCTGACAATGCTCATGTAACTCCTCTTCTAGCGTTTACAGCTTTTCTTCTCAATGTAGATAGAAACGTGTGCTGCCCATACAGCCGCTTTGTTCATAACCACATTTGACTTTCACATAATTGTACCTCCAACTTCTGTTTTTGTTCAAGCTTTTTTGTTATTATTTTGTTAGAAGATTTCAGCAGGTTTCTGCTTCTTTCGTCACAACCATGTCCAGTTTATTTTCCTGTTTCCTTTCTGGCATAGGACCACTGAAGCACTTGTTCCTCTCTTAGTTTCATCTTTTCTAGTAATCATACAGTGAAACTGTTTGGATTTGCTTGAACTGGACCAATGTTTGAATAAGAGAGATGTGAGCTTCAGAGATTTTTTTTTTGAAGCTGTCAACCTGGACTTAAAGTATTCCCAATCCTTTAGCAGTTTTCTGAATCTGCTTGGTTTTGTCCAAGACTGCATGCTTGTGTGTTAAACCACTTTTTACCCAGGTTCAAGAAAATCAGTTCTAGGTGCTATACTGGCTTTCCTAAAACCAGATTTCTCCTTCGCTGGTTTCTTCAATGCCTTCCTGGCTTTCAAATTTTCTTTCAACCATTTTATGCTTGCTGCTACTAACCGATAAGAGTTGCCCTTGCTCTTTGCAGTGATATCTTTTCAGAAAGTGCATTTAGGGAAGCAAATACAGCTTTTAGTTAATGACTAGCTTTCTGTTGTCTCCTTAAAGAAATGAAACCAGAACTAGTCTATATAGCTCTCCATAACTCAAAACATTTGGCTGTGGTCAGGAGTACAGGGTAACAGAAGAATATGTTATATTCTTCAGGGGTACTGAATTGTAGCTACTTTTTCAGCTGTCAAGCAGGAAAAACCCTTATCTCTGGAAAGCTGCATCTCTCTCTCTCTCTCTCTCTCTCTCTTGGAAAGCTGCATCTCTCTCTCTCTCTCCAGTATGTGGTCTCCATCAATGCAGGTAGAGTCTTTCACTGCATATGCTTGGTTGTTTTTTTTTTTTTTTTTTTAGCAGCTAGATCCTGGCTACTTCACACAAGCAAAGCCATTTTGTGTGTTTACAAATACACGTGCCTGTATCTAATAAATGCTGTGGCAGAGTAGACAAACTCCCCTTTCAAAGGGCAAACTTCTTTAATAACTAAATCTGAAACCCTTCCATTGCACGTTCTGCAAGTTTCCTCGGGGTAGAACAGTTTGTATAGACCACTTCGTGTCTGACTCTTGGGAATTTCCTTTCAACACACTGTAGTACGGGGGGAAAAAGAAAAGGCTAAAATACGTTGCTGCTCCAAATTCTTTCCCTCCTGAAACTAGTTATTCTAGGCCATTCCACTTGTTCTCTGAAAGATTTGGCACTTTGCTTTCTGAAGGCAGTGTTTCATGAAACGAGATCAACTTCGTGCTGTAAAATAGTGATGCTGGTAGTTGTGCATTTTCAGTTTTCCACCATCCTAGTTCATTCAGGCATTAAGATGTCTTTATTTTGGTATTTTTTCAGGGGATATATGTATGGATTTCAGCATGTAGGATCCAACATCTTGAGAATGGAGATGAGGAGCTGAGACAGCTGCTGATATGGTGCCTCTATTGCGATACGATGCATAATGTAGTGTATAGATCTCATGGTTATTTAGGTGGAACCTCATGTTTGGTGAAAGGAATGTCTGCTGCATGGCCTGTGGCTAACAGTTGTGTCAGTAGATGTTGACATGTAACTCTGCATTTCAACATCTTCTATATGGAAACAGCCTGTTGAGGCAGGAAAGAATACGTAGGCAGGGATTGTAGTTCTCAGAGTACATCTGTGTCACTGTTGAAAAATTAGCTGATTGCGTGTACCAGCTGGGGCTACTTCATACACTAAAACAAATGCCTCTTTTCCTACAATCCATAAACTTCCTGACAATGCTGCCAGGTGGTTTGACCTACTTAGAATTTGCTTTATCATGTGGAGAAACAGTTCTGAGCCTGTGGTGTTTCTAGGAATTTGTGTGAGTATGCCTGATATGGAAAAGCTTGGTGTCTGACCTTTGCAGCATGAAGAATTGCCATTTGTCTGTTACTGTTTTGATGCCTCTTGTGCAGAATGTACACTTTGGTCTCTTAATGACATAAATTTTTTAGTAACTTCTGGAAACTTGTTCACATCGTTCAAAAGTAAGATTGCTTTGATCTTTTAAACGTATTACAGCATGGATAAAGAATAGAGCTTTATCTCATGGTCTTGTACACCTCTGGCCCATTACTGAAGAGGCTCTCAGATATGAAGCTGAAGACTGGCAGTACTGTAAATTGCATCCTTCAGTATTTCTGTGCATAAAATTTGTGCAGTAAAGGATTATAAAGTTCAAGAAAACACACTCCATGTCTAGAACACAGATAAAGTGATAGGTCATTAACGTATTTATAGGTAAGTGCTGTTGTAGGACAGACTTGAACTTGGTGTTATTGCCGCCTTAAATTGCTTCTACTTACCATACATAAAACTGTATGAAGACAGATTTAAAATACATTAAATGCAAGATCATTTTTTCTCCTACCAAAAGTGCATGCTTTTAGTCAAGATAGAAAAATTTTTGATTCTCAAATTAACATTCTTTCTTTGCCTTAAGGATCACTCAGGTACCCTGAAGAATAGTCTTCTCCAGGTGGATCAGAACTGTGTTCGTAACTCTTACGATGTCTTCTCTTTGCTTAGGTAAGGTTTTTGAGAATATTCTGTGTAGCTTTTGTAACTTCTTTAGTGTGTGTGGAAGAAGCCTTTCCAAATAAAAAAAACTTCTGGACTGGAATGTGCAAAGGAGATCCAGGTAGTGCCGATTTAGTGCTGGTAGCAAGGAGATGGGCCTTGATGTATGTTCCTTGGTGGTCTCTGGGCTTCTTCTGCCACGTGGACGCTTGAGCGCTCTGAACTAGAGCTGGCTGTGGAGCTAGCCCATGGATTTGCCTTGCGAGTGTTAAAATCATGGAGCTTCCCTGTTGGAGAGCTTCTGTGGAAAGCCCCTACTTTGTTCTCCTCAACAAAAATAAAATTTATTTAAATAAATTAGAACAATGGGAAAAAAGCAACTTGCGAAAACTTAATTTGGTAGAATGATGCTGTAGTTGAAACAAAACAGCTATACATTGAAGTGTGTGGGGGGCTTTTTTGTGGTTTTTTTTTTTAATGTTGAACCACTGAACTGAATTTACCTTTTGCATAATTCTCCCTTGTAATCCAGAAAAGAGGCATTGCATAGTCAGTTACTCCAACACATGTATGGTATAAGAAAGGTATGGTAACTGCACTTTTGCGTGGTTAATTAGGTGTCTCTGGTGGTGAAAAACACAAAATGCTATATGAAGGTAAACAAGAAGGCCTTTTTCAGATCTGCTTTAATTACAATAGTTCAAGAATGTTAGCTGTGGGGAAATACAATAATTTAAACGCTGTCAGTAGGTTGGTTTTGAGGAATTTGTATTTAAAAGGCACGTTGCAAGACAGGTTGATAACTTCAGTTCTGCAGTAATAGCAATAGATGTGCTACAAAGGAAACCCTTGAAAAGGAAGTGTTCAATATGCTTTCAAAAGTCCTTGGAAAAACGCGTCTGGTTTTTTATCAGTTGTAAAATTCGAATCCATTTGATAGTGTTAACAGTAGGTGTCACTGTTGCCTGTATGAAGCATTAGCTCTATAGTGAAGAAAGTGGTAGGAAAAGTTAACTCTAGGTTGCTTGTTCAGAAATCTTTATTTTATAAGCTCTCTGAAAATTTAAATGCGCTATTTCTTGATTCTGTAAAGCATATTTAAACTAAAGGCTGCTTTCTAAATGTCTGTCTTCTGTACTTTTAGTGGAAAACAACCAGGGGGCGTGTTATGAAGTTCTGGTTACGTTCTGGCACAGTCCATTAGAAGAGAACTCTTATAGTACCTAACATTAAGTTTTTGTTAAATAGAAAGAAGAAAATGTGTGCCGGTCATCCTGATTGCTCTGTTCATACGTTTTTTTTCCCCTTTTCCTTTGCACACTCCAGAAAAAAACACTCGCTATTATACCAGCCGGTCATGAACTTGACCGACTGGAGCCCTGTCTAACCGTGTCTAATCTGAACTGTGGTCCTTCTTCTGAAACTTTCTGACTGTCTATCATAAATCTGACCAGAAATGAAGATGCCAGCTTTGATAAAGCTCCCCTTGCTGGATGCTCACCAGTGCTGTTTTGAAACCTGATTACTGGAGCCATGCACTTTGCTCAGTCTTGGGAAGGTGAGAGTCCAGGCACTGTCTCTTACAGTTTCTAGGCATGCTGTTGGGTGTAGCTCCTGTTTAGCCCTGTCTCTGAGCTAAGACATCCTCCTTTCTTTTTGCTTTGTCCTGAAAGGAACAGGTTTTTTCCAGCCCTCAGTACCAGGCATGCTGCTGATTATATTTCAGTGGATTCTACATACCTTATCAAGGAGTATATATTGCATTGTCTACTTCCAGCAAAAGTTAGAAGTTATAATTTGAGACCATACCTAGGTGCTTTTTTTGCCTGTTTCCTTCCTAGCTGGGAAAGTTTTTCGGGAACTGAGGCAACGTCCTCTGTGTAGTCCTGAATTCTTTCTACTCCCTCTCACATTAACTCTGCTTTTTTTACAGGTACACGTTCCCTATTGCTGCTTATCTTTGATATCTAGCTCAAAAGACTGGTGATAGCATTTATTTCTTTAAAAATAATCTCTAGTCTCTTTTTGTCAGGTGTCCTTCTTCTCCTGCCAAGCAGTCTGGTTTGCCACCTCCTCCAGGAGTCCAGGCTTGAGTAACTAGCCGGTGACCTCTTTCCAAAGATAGTTTTTGTGAGAGCATGTTCCACTTACAACCAGAAGAGAGAGATGGGCATAATTTGAGTTGTGATTCATTTGACAGGACATGTACTTCAGGAGGAAATGAATTGCTGTCTGCCTGCTTCTGTCCATTGGCTATAAAGAGAATAGGGAGGTGTCTACACCGTAAAGGTTTGCATCTGGTCACATAAATCCCACATTTTGAAGACTTTCTAATGATACAATATTTGTCTGTAGTAAAAATTCACAAGCTGCACATGTGGTTTCCTAATGTTTTCACGAGACATGTGAATATGAAGAACAGCTTGTACTGGCTTTGTTTAAACTTCTCAAAAAAGGAAGCAAGTCCTGGTGATGGTGGTATCTGCATCCCAGTCATTCAGATGGTACCATGCTGCCAGGTGTGGCATAGCCACTGTGATCAGCTGTACAGTCTGAAAATCGATTGAGAGAGAGTAGGTTCTAGCTCAGCCCTTAACTCTTGGAAGACTGCAAAACGAGAACTTCTATGGTTGATCTGTCTGCTATCAAAACTGCTTTTTGGGGAAGAAATTATTTAAATTTTTTTTTTTTTACTTCAGAAGTGAATAGCTAAAACTTATGAAGCTTGTGAATAGGCCTTAATGAAAAGCACGTGCTTGGCTCAAATTATGTTGATTAAAAAAATTAATTGGGAATGCCAGAGTGTGTGAACAGTAGAAAATTTTGACTCTTGGATTAAAATAGTGCCTGTGTGCTCAGATGCTTAATTACATGGATTTACAAGTTAATTAAGCAGGAGGAAAAGTTTAAGTACCCAGACAGCTTAGCTTTACACAGGAGGTTCTCAGCACCTCTGCAGCTCATGAACCTTCTTGTTTTGGGGCAGGAACAAGATCCTCAGGCAAACATAGTGCTGCTAATAAGTTGTTCATGCCATATGGAAATGACAAATGTTCTTTCAGCCATTTGTTTTAAAAAGGCTAACTAACAAAAATTAACACCGCAACTGGAAAGCTAAAATGTTGAGGTTTTTGTCCCTTGGCCATATTGTCAGATTTCCTGAAAAGAGGTCACTTAAAGGCTTTCTAAATATTATGTAGCTGGTAGTAATAGGTTATACAGTAACACATTTCACCTTTCACATAACGCTCAGGATGGGCCAAATTCATCTGAGGTCATGTTCTGGACATGTCTCCATAATCAAGCTCTTGGCACATTTGCAGCACTAATGGGAATAGGTTTATGTTTAATATTCTCTTAGTTGTCTATCCTTTCTTTTCTTTAAACTTTGAAAAATAGACCTTTCAGTATTAAGTGGTGTTGGGAAGATGGGATACGCTGGCAATCACTAAAGAAGGGGCTTAAAATCCTCTATGCTAAAATTTTACTTCAGTTCCTAAATACAAAAAGTAATATCTTGTATTCTACAACAGCTTCTAAGGATTTTGTGACATTTAGAGCAATTGGCCTGCTAATACCTTTTGTGCCTCTAAGCATGTGAGTGCCTGAAACGCTCCCAGATTCTGCCTGGAGACAAAAAGTGCTCTAAGAACTAGTGAAACCTGCCCCTTTGAAGTTTTGCTTCCTATATTTTTATCTCTCCAGTCAAAACTGCTTTCTCTATGGTTTAGCCATTCCTTCAGCAGATGGGATGGCATGTTTGTGCTTTAGCCAGGCAGTTAGTGCAAATTGAAAACATTTTGGTAGTATTTTTTTTGAAAAAAACTATTGTTTTTTCACAACAACAACAAAAAAATATGATATCGTTACAATTTGAGTGCTGGAGATGAGTAAAAGACCAGCTCCAGGCAACTGCTGTAATATTGCTAATATCTAATCTGGCTGAAGTTGATTTAAATAATACTTCTAGGTGTTAAAGGGCTTCCTCTGCTACTGCCACATGTGCATCTGATCTAGTGGATTAAATCTTGAAAACTAGAGCAACTCCAGAGACCACACAGGCTTCATTAAAAACAACAGGTTCTCGCAGTTCTGGTGATAAGCAAATAAATCTGGCTGCAGTGCCCTGGACAAGTAAACATGACTTTTCGAAACAAATTATAACACTAAGCGAACAATTTCCTTGTATTTCACATCACAACAATGATGGCCCAGGTTCAGTGACTTTAAATGGTCCAAGATTGCTGGTTACAAGGCACTGCTCTGAGGAGGACCAGAGCTCAATTTCTGAACTGGCAACTAATTACTACTTTCTAGGTGAGGGGCTCAAAGAAACTTGCGGTGCACTGTTGAACATTGGGCATGTTGATACGTGACAAGTAGAAATATGAGTTACTAGAAACTGTCTTAAGTCCCAGTGCCTTAAGTGTGCCCGTCTCCTTCAGATTTCATAATTTGTCATGGGCCAGGGGTATGCTTTAAGTGACAGGCTTTGTTTCAGGATTTGCCATTTTTAATATAACTGTTCATTTAAAGAAGAGTGCATGTCTTCTCACTGAAGAGATATTATTTAAGAATACAAATGTGTTTGTCTGCAGTCTGAAACTTTGAGATGTTGGTAAAATCAACTCTCTTAAGTGACCAAGACTAAAACATGGCGACACAATATAAAATCAGCTTTTGTTTAGCTCTGCCTATCTTAGGAAAGAAGCTTTTTAACAGATACATTGTTTGTTTAAATTCTTCCGTCTTTATTAGCAGTCTTATTGAGTGAACAACACTTAAACAAGTTGATCTCTGAAACTAGAAATAGAGACAGTACACAGTCAACGTAAGCAGCTGTAGTGTTGAAAAACCCATTAGTAGCTCAGAGTAGTTTCTCTGGGACTACAGAGTCAGTGGAATTGCACGTGCCAAATGTAGTAACTGCCTTTGGGCAGCTATTTTTAAAACATGGAAATTACGCTAAACTTGAAGCTGTTTTTCATAAGCTCTCTGAGTGGGGAATGATGGAGTGAGCAAGGTCTTCACGGGCTTGTACTGCTTTGTGCTCAGGGGTACATTGACCTTTTACAGCTAAGGAGAAGCACAAGACAAGTCAGTCTTGAACAATGTCAGTGTCCCAACTTGACAGGCAGTAGCTCAGTCAGACTTTGCTATTGTAGAGTTGCTATAAGCAGCAATTTCAAACTTTAGGCTTCCAAATGTTTGGTGGGGTGAAAAGGAGGGAAAGCAGGAAGAAAACACGCTATCAGCTGCTCTCTGACTTTGGAGGGTTGTACAGCATCTAATAACAACGCCAGAGATGGGCCACGCAAAGCTGTACTGTCTTCTGAACTTCCCTTAAGTTCCTCTACTTCCACGCTCATCTCCGTGAAAGAAGTGAACCCAGTGGAGCTGTGCAGTAGGCAGGATTCAGTCTCTAGCCTCTGCAGTTCAGACTGCATGGAAACAGGGAGTTGCTCTTGGCTTCCCTCTTCCCTTTAGGGTGCTGGTAGATGCGTATTTAGACATAAGGGGAGGTACGGAACTTTTTTTTTTCCATTTTAAAATATGCACTGACAGTTAAGTCTTTTGTTTCTAGCTTTTTCCTTTGCTGTTCTTTCCTCGGAGAAGTATGCCAACTCATAGCCGTGACCAAAGCCCTTCTAAATGTTGTCGTTACGGATGTTCATGCAGTAGGAACAGTGCCACATTCTGAGAAGGTGGCGAGTGCGTGGCAGGAAAAGGCTGTCACTAATAGCCTGATGCTCTTGCGGTGCCTTGTTCTAGCTTTTCTTTTGAGTATCTTAGCAATCAAATTGCTGGCTCACATTGCAGACTTTCAGTCTTTAATGTTGCTACTGCTGCTGCCATCACCTCCTCCCAGCAGATGCGGAAATACACTGTCTCAAGTGTGGAATGGGTAGTAGGATTCCTCTTAGCCTGACTTGTGTTCTTAAATCAGTAAGTTCCTCTGCTAAAACTTCCCTTTGCTAGTGGTAAGTGTGGTTGTTTTTCTGTGATGGCCGAGCTTGATGTTTCTAACTAGGAAAGATTTCCACCTGGAAGACTTGGCTCTCCGTACTGTATAGGCAGCCAAGGGGAGGCAGGCATCCCTTTGGCTTTGGACACGAAAACCCAGGTGGCCTAAGGCCAGCATAAATAAATATGAACTGTAATCAGACCTCTTGGGTGCCCCTGTATGCTTTAATAAGCAGTACTGAAGTGGATGAACAGTATAACAAGTGTCATCTCTTTTGGCCTAAAAACCATGTGGGTTGGAATTGTGGGGTGGTGTCTTCCTGGGAAGTAGCAATGGAGATGGAAACTGGGATCTGAATTTTTTTTGAGAGATTCCTTAGGGATTTTGATCTGTGGAATCAGACTTTCAGATAAATCTGTTCCCAGGCATTTTAGTTGTGTGGTGCTAAGGTATATGGAAGCTGAGGCTAATCAGTCATCAGAAGAATCAATTTACAAGGCTGACTTTTGCCAAAATCTGTAGAAGAGAGCAGCATGGGTCATAGCAAGTTGAAACAGTCCATGAAGCATAAGAGAGATGGGGTTTTTTTTGTATTTTAACTTAACTGCAGGGTTAGTAGTCATCTGCTGCTGCTGTTCTTATCTTCAGCTTTCCTAATATGCCATGTGGAATTAAAACACCCCTGCAGTGGCAGATTTTTAGTGTAAGCATGATAGGCATGTTGCTAGCTCTTGATCAAATTCAGTTTCAGAGCACTGTTTAGGAGAGAGATTAGAGAGCTGTGCAGAATTTCAAAAATAGCTTTCTTCTTTATTTGTGACGCCATGTGAAAGACCATATTGATGAAGCAATGTTCAATTAGATTAGAAATCATAACACAGTCCTTCTCCTTTTTCTGGCTTTATTAGAGTTGATGAAAAACAGAGCATGTCACTTAACTAAATAATTTTCTAACAGATACCTGGAAGTGTTTAAGAAGGAGGATTTTGTGAACAATGGCATTGAGACTCCTCTTTATTTTTGTTACGACTTTGTCCTGGATATGGCTGTAAGAATGGTGCAGCTAGTTGCTTTATTTTTCAGCCTGGGCAAAGATTTCAGTGAATGCAGTCATGTCTCCAAAATGCTCAGAAATACCTAACTCACATCAGGGGAAGACAATACTACATTTTGACTGAGAAAAATACAATGGATTAAAGATCGCACATTGGGGAAAATGCTTTAATCTCTTTGATAATTAAAAACAGGGCAAGGTGGGGAATGCACCTGTGACTGAGAAGCTGCAGAATACTCCTGTGTTACGACCATCCCTTTGTCTGGTGGGAGATCTTGCTTCTCTACTTCAGCTGCAGAATTCTACTTGTTTTGGAAGTAAACTTTGATTTGAGTTTGGGGATGGCTTCCAGGAAAAAGTGTAGCAGTATGCACTTGAAAAAATGAGTCACCTGGTGTTTCCCCTCCTTCTCCCTCCAGTGGGTAAGAACTGTGCTCAGTTGTCACAAGCACCTTATCAGTTGTGTGGACTGCGATTGGAAGAATACAGTGAACAAGCAGCTGTTTCCCTTTTTGGTTGGAGCCTGTAACCCATTCAACCTGAATTTATGCACCTTCCTTTTCAGTTGTGCAGTGAACTCCAGTTTTAGCCTTGCTCACTGTTTCAGAGCAAGAATTGAATCTTATGTTAAGATTTGTTGGCAAGTTACACGTCAGCAAAAGGCTGCTGGATTCTACCAGTGTCACTGTCCTGTCCTGGTAGGAGTTATCTTTACATATTTATGCCTTTCAGAAATTTGTGTTTGCATATAATTTACCTTTCTGCTATATACAACATCTTGAATGTGATTCTGTCTGTTGCCCTGGCAGCAAGGTTTCTGTAATCACAAACTGATAAGCACCGGTATCAAGAACAAAAAAGCCCCAACCTTTCTCTGATATTTGCCACAAATACATTTGTTCTTTGAATAAAAAAATCAAGCCGTAAATCCATCCCAATGCTGGAGTGAAATCTATGAATTGAAATAAGAGGTCTAGAGACATCTCAGGTTTTGTGACTTAGTTTCTGGAAAAAATTGTTTGTGCTTTATGTTAAGACTCTCCTCTTCCGTTCGTGCCCCGTGTGTATTGAAGGTGATATATATACTAGCTAGGTCCTTTAAATGTTCCTCACGCTGGAGGCCAGCACCTCCCCTGCTGCCAGTCTGATAGACATATTTTTTCCTTTTCTTCTCCATTTGCAAATAGCTCAAAGCATCCAGTGTTGCAGTGTCTACATGGACTTGATTATTCAGAAACTTAATTTGAGCCTTACACGTGTAAGTCAATTCAAAACTGCTTGAAAGAATGATGGAAAGTATCTGTGCTTCAACAGCACTGTCTTGTTTGAGTTTCTTACAGCATTGGCTCTTGTAGAGGTTTAATGCCATAAATGAACAAGTCAGACTTGCATTTTATTCTCTTCTTACTCCCTACTGTCTTCTCTCGCCTTACATCTGCTTTGACAAATTGTAGGTATAGGTTTCCGAGGAAATTGGGAAAGGGAGTATATGATTATAAATTAGAAAAATTTTTCTTGTGGGAAAGCAGATGTAGCAAATGATGGTTTAAGGGGCTATGTAAAAAATATGTTATAGCTGGCTGGCACTCTCCATAATCTAATTTCTGGACTGATAGAAAGAAGTGTGCGTTCCATTTTTTGTATTTAATAGGAAAGTCTTGGATTTTTTTTTTTTCTTTAATAGTAGGTTTGGGTATTTTACTTCCAGGATCCTACACCTCACTTATTGCCAGAAGTGTTCTGTTCTATTTTCTAAATCCCTGGTAGTAATTCTCAGTTTAAATTTAGTCTCATTGTAAACTAAGGTTGTTCTGGCAAACAAGACCATAGGCATTTATTTCTCTTGTGAGAAGTAGCTGTAATATGTGACTGCTGTAATTAATTGATGTATTTATGGCTTAAAATTCTGTACATGGAAAATCCAGATGTGTCTGATAGAAGCAAATAGATATTTGGAGTGTATGGTAGAACTACAAAATCATGTATCAAATGTCTAATAAAATTGAGACTCTTTCTTTCATTAATGTAAATATAAGCATATGTTAGCTTAATAGGCACAACTGTCACTACGCTCCAGCTTTCAGTTTTTTAAAGATTGCAGTCAGGAATGAACTTGCTGTATAAACTAGTAAATCACTAGACTAATTCATGACCAAGAGGGATATCTCAGTTGCAGTATACAGCAATGTGTCTTAACGGAAAGTACTTCAGCTGAACCTTCAAACATTGCTTCAAACTTACTGCAAGCTGAAAGAGAGCAAATGTGTTGTTGCAGCACATTCTCAAGTTGTAAAGTCAAGTTATGTTGGACCATGGCATTGTGCAGCCTTTGGGATGTCAGGAAAACTGCTTGATCTTGCAAACAAGACCAGGACGTTATTGCAAAGAAGACCTATAATGGTGAAAAAGTCCAAAACTTGGCAACTTTTTTTCTTCCTCCAAGTCAGTACCCGTATTGAATTGATGGGCAGAACACTGTATGCTAGAATTGTTTCAAATCTTACAGCCAAGGTAGAAAGCAGGGTTTTTTGGGGGAGAAGAGGAAACAATTTTATTTCAGGCTTGAAAAGCCTTGAAGAAATACCCCAAATAGCCCCTATTTCAGCAACTTGGGAACTAGCAAGTGAAGAGGAGAGAAGTTGCAGTTTTGCCTGCTGGTTCTTCCTAGATCGATTAGGGATGCAGCTTTTGTTGGTCTCAGCTTACAGTACATGGCTAATGTTTTTGTATCTATCCCACTGTCTTTTAAACTTCCAAAGGAAGGGAGAGTATTTTGTTTCCTCTTAGTCTCCCCCACCTCAAAGCAGGTGATAGGAGAATGGAAGTAGAACAACAGCTTCGTGC